TTAAACCTAAAAAACTTCCAATGCACTGTTCCAAATTATTACGCACAGTAAGTTTCAAAACACTTTATAGGTTGTAAAGAACTGAAAATTGTCATTTGTTGTGTTTGCAGCATATTTACTGAAAGCCAAAGCTATTTCAATCAAACTTTTAAAAACATTTTAACTTTTTAAACATTTTAACAGGTCACGTTACATTTTAACTTAGGACCCCTTATTTGATAGCAGCTTCACAAGTCTTGCATCCATTGAACTTGTGAGTTTTTGGACAGTTTCTGCTTGAATTTGTTTGCAAGATGTCAGAATAGCCTCCCAGAGCTGCTGTTTGGATGTAAACTGCCTCCCACCCTCATAGATCTTTTGCTTGAGGATGCTCCAAAGGTTCTCAATAGGATTAAGGTCAGGGGAGGATGGAGGCCACACCATGACTTTCTCTCCTTTTAGCAGCCATTGATGCAGAATTATTCTTTGCAGCATGAGATGGTGCATTGTCATGCATGAAGATGATTTTATTACGGAAAGCATAGTTCTTCCTTCTGTACCAGGGAAGAAAGTGGTCAGTCATAAACTCCACATACTTTGCAGAGGTCATCTTTACACCTTCGGGGACCCTAAAGGGGCCGATTAGCTCTGTTCCCATGATTCCGGCCCAAAACATGACTCCACCACTGCCCTGCTGACGTCGCAGCCTTGTTGGAACAGGGTGGCCGTACACCAACCATCCACTACTCCATCCATCTGGACCATCCAGGGTTGCATGGCACTCATCAGTGAACAGGACTGTTGGAAAATTAGTTTTCATGTATTTTTCTGCCCAATGCAGCCGTTTCTGCTTGTGAGCACTGGTTATTGGTGGCCGAATAGAAGGTTTATGCACAGTTGCAAGACTCTGGAGGACTCTACACCTTGATGTCCGTGGGACTCCAGAGACACCAGCAGCTTCAAATATCTGTTTGCTGCTATGTAATGGTATTTTAGCAGCTGCTCTCTTGATCCGATGCATGGATTTGGCAGAAATCTTCCTCAATGTGCCTTTATCTGCATGAACCCGTCTGTGCTCTGAATCAGCCACAAATCTCTTAATAGTGCGATGATCACGCTTAAGTTTTTCGTGAAATATCTAATGTTTTCATACCTTGTCCAAGGCATTGAACTATTTCACTCTTTTCGGCAGCAGAGAAATCCTCTTTCTTCCCCATATTGCTTGAAAATGGTGCTCTGCTTAATGTGCAACACCCTCCTTTAGTAGTTTTTCCTTAAATTGGGCTCACCTGCCAATCTAATTATCACAGGTGTCCGAGATTGTTTTCAGTGATCAAAAGAGCCCTGAGACACAATCCCATCCATGAGTTAAACTGAAAAACAAAATATTTAATCTTTGTGATACTTAAATAGAATTTGCATAATAATTTGGAACAGGGTGTATGAATGGTTTGCACCTTGTGGTGAACCCTCTGTATTTTGCTCTCGTGAAGTCTTGATTGTAGACTTTGACAATAATACGCCCACCTCCTGGAGAGTGTCCTACACTTGTCTGGATGTTGTGAATGGGTTTTTCTTTATCATAGAGAGGATCCTACGATCATCCACCACTGTTGTCTTCCATGGATGTCCATGCCTTTTTATGTTGCTGAGCTCACCAGTGCGTTCTTTCCTCAGAATGTACCAAACTGTTGATTTGGCCACTCCTAATGTTGCTGCTATTTCTCTGATGGATTTGTTTAGTTTTTGAAGCATTACATTGGCCGGTTTCGCTTGCATGGACAGCTCCTTTGAATGCATGATATAGGTTAACAGCAATAGATTCCAAATACAAATACCACTTAGAATTAATTCCAGACCTTTTACCTGCTTGATGAAGAAATAACAAAGGAGTAGCCCACACCTGGTCATGAAACAGCTTTTGATTCAGTTACTTTTGGTCCCTTGAAAAAGGGGGGATGACTACTCTTAAGAGCTGAAATTCCTAAATCCTTCCTCCAATTTGGATGTACATACCCTCAAATTAAACCTGAGAGTGTACATTTTCTGCCCATATCCATTATATAACTCTAGCTTGAATATGTTTTGGTAAATACCTGAAAAAAACTAAAACTGTGCCTGTGTCCAAATATATATGGACCTAACTGTACTTCTTAAATATTAAACTCCATGGTCCCTGTTTAAATGATTAGCCAGCTTTAAGAAAGGTATTAACGATTAATTCACAGTCCTGCTTTTGTGTGGATCAGTTGTAATACTTTAACATGGTTGGGATAACTTGCAGAATATGGAACGGATATGACTTGATGTAATGAAGCCTGGTATATAGCTAATAATTTATCATGCCTACAGTCCGAGGCTTCCCGCAAGGCATTCTTCCATTCTGGTTCATCTAGTGAATGTGCTTACTCATTGAAAAACCTCCACTGTTTTGAGGGTCTCCCACGGTGTGTAGGGTTTACTATACTCCCAGAACAAGGTCAGAATCCATATGTTCAGGAGCCCCCTTCTCTAGTGTGCAGCTTGATTTATTTCCTGTCACACGAGCTTAATTCCTTGAGACTGGAAACTGAAGAAGTGCCAAGGAACTGCCATCACAGCCGACTTCCTCCTAACCCCCCAAAAATCTCCACATGATTTCCTTCCAAGAGGCCCTAACTCACCCATAAGGGCCGCACTCCCTTCGACTTAGCAGTGCGTCCTCCAATATCACTTCCATATCAATCACAGCAGATTTTATGCTAACGAGCTCCTCCTGCCTCCTCCCAACCAGTTCACCACATCTGGATATAAATTCCTTCCTTGCACTGAGGTCACCGGGACCCTGGGTATGGCACAAAACGAGGACTGATCTTTACATGGGAAAGGAAGAGAAGGCCTGGGGTCCCTCCTTCCAAGATGTGTTTAATTGCTTTGGACTACAGCCACATTCAGATTGGTTTCCTTAACTCAACGTCTGCCGGGGAGCTTTAACTGCAACACCAGGCAACATGTAGTGTCATTTGGTGAACAGATTAATGCTATCCAGTAGTAGCAATCACTTTGCTGACGTCACTTAGCTTAGAGCTTTTTAAAAACTCAATGCACTCAAGTTTAACAGACTTCTATTAGAGATTTCCAGCTTCCCTCCCTTTCCTCAGTGTTTGAGGGTGAGGTTCAAAGTTAGCTTAAAGATGGCTCAGGGCTTGAACCAGTAAATGACATTGGCCCTGTTTTCAGGGCCAGTCTGAAGATCTAAGAAAATAGAGATGTTGCTTTTGCGATAAATTGTTAGTTTCATGTTTGACAGCAATATACCTTGAATCGTGTTGTAATTAGGAGCTTTTGAGACATTTCTGTACCAAATATTTCTGTGCTTTACCCTGCCTGTAAATTACATGTTTTTCACAGAGTAGCCCTGATCCTCTTTCTCCAGGCCCCCACCTCGGGAGCGAGCACGCACCAGTGCCCACATAGCAAGCGGCTTGCTATGTGGGCACTGGTGCATGCTCGCTCCTGAGCCTGGCTCTATGCACCCATTAGACACACAGAGCCAGAGCTCTGCTCTACCCTCTGCTCTCCCTATTGGCTAAATGGCTTCCGTTAATGAAGGGAGGGAGTCCTGGGACTGCCGAAGCTCTCCTGTATATTGCTAGGTGAGTATTGGGGGCAGCTAATGCAGTATAGTTTAGGTATTTATTGGTTTACTTTAAACCTCCAATGGGCAAGGCATTCACTTTCAGACCTCTTATGTAAAAACATGGCATTTCTGCCTCCATTTGAAGTAGGTTAAGAGGAGCTTCACCTAAAATGTAAAGTTCCGCTTATCCTTCTCCCCCCTCCTCTCAGTATGGAGAACTGTTTGTTTTTGTTTTTACCTTCATGCATAAAAAAACCCTCTGCCTTCAGAACCACTTTAGGGAACTGGTGGCTGGTGCATACTTAAAGCGGAGTTCCACCTGGAAAAAAAAGTCTGCAGCTTCAAAAACTGCTGACTTTTAAAATACAGGCACTTACCTGTCGCTCGGTCCAGCGGTGTCCTCACCACTGCTGGTTTCACCAGCCGTCTTCTCTCCTTGGCGCTGGCATATTCTGTGTGGGCACCCGGCTGTGACAGCTTGTGGCTTCACAACCGGGTGCCCACTGCACATGTACGAGAAGTGCTGTGCTTTGCGAATGGCCCCGTAGTCTTCTGTGACCTGTCACGTGTCCCAGAAGACTACGGGGAGGGAGGAGGACAACTTACGTTTCCGATCACCTAGGCGATCGCAGCGAAAGTGGGAGCGGGTACCTATCAAATTCGGTTACCTGCTTCATGGCCATGAAGTCTTGGGGTTCTTGCCCTAATTCTCACTTTAAGAAGCCAGACATTTCCTTCCATTTAAAAAAAAAAAAAAAAAAAACACCTTGGATAACTGACCCAAAGTTGAGTACCAGATGTACGTTTTAGGCTCATCCATTGACCTCTTGGGATCCATCCAGTCCTGAATGTGATCAGGGAATATTAAGAGGCCTGGTCGTGCTCAGTGTGACAGAATATCCTCTTTGATTTTGGCAGTGTGCTCTCTAATGCTTCATGTCACAATAAAGAAGCTATAGCTCTGCATGTTGTTTACGGCTGGCCAGCATGCCCTTATCCCTCCTGTAGTGCAGATATTTCATAACCATTTGTCTTTGTGTTACAGCTTAGCATTCCTTTTCTAGTCAGAGGAGCATGTCGCTCCCCTGCGGCCATCCCGCTACCCCAAATCTCTGTGCTGAATGAGAGCATTTTTAGTTCGACCACAAGCCATTTCTGCTGGATAAATTCCAAGGGTGATACGATCCATGCTCTCATTTGTATTCAGGAACCTAATGGAATGGGGTCCTTGCGGATAAGTTAAATGCATTGTAAGGTGTCCTGAGGGTATTGGAAATACTAAGAAAGGGCTGCCGCCAATGCTGTATTGGTAGCTCATTAGGGAGACCAGCGGTGTCATTATTAAGTCTCTATGTGTGGCTCAGGACTAATGCTAATCACCTATGTTTTCTCTCTTCTGCAGCACCAACGTGGTGATGAATTATTCAGAGATAGAGTCTAAGGTTCGAGAGGCGACCAACGATGACCCCTGGGGACCTTCTGGGCAGCTCATGGGAGACATCGCCAAGTAAGTAATGCCTGATTTCCCGGGAGAAGCAAGACAATTCTCTGCCATTTAGAAGTTGTAGCGTAGGGAGAAAGCAGGGAAGTTTATTCACCCTGCGCTCCATGCACAGAATAGAAATACGATGGGGGTGAGATTAACAAAGAGTCACACATCCTTGGAATATATACGCAGTTTTTAAATGTATGCATTTACAAGAGTACAAAGCACAGGTGGGGAGATTTTCAGGCATGTGTTCCTGGGAAATGTATGCAGAAAGGGGGTTCTGGTGCAGCAGTAATTCTTTCAAAGAGACCCTGTTGCCAGACCAATTCCTTTTACCGAAATCTTCCCATAAGATTATATGTGCGTTTAACATACAGTATATTGGCCTTGTTATAAATTCCCCTTTTGGATTACCTGTATTTTGGGTGGAACATGTAACATGATCCAGCTTCTGCCAACTGACAATAGTTCTAAAGTGCACACACCTGCGTAGACCTTCAAATCGTTGTATTGAAGCCACTTTGATTTCAGGTCCCTTCTGCACACAGATCCCCTACTTCTACCATTGCCATTAGGTTCCTCCACTTATTTGTCCAGTACCAGAACCTTTGTGGTCAGTAGAGGCTATGGCATTGGAGTGAGCTGGGCTTAATGCCAGCTTGGAGAGAAATCAAGGCCCTGTATACAGCATTGACTTGTAATACAAGGGTATTTGGCGAACTTGCAGCTGTACTTCAGCAGTATTGTTTAGGTGTTGATGAGTTTACTTTAAAACTTCAATGGGCAAGGCATTCACTTTCTGACCTCTTATGTAAAAACATGGTATTTCTGTCTCCAGTTGAAGTAGGTTAAGAAGAGCTTCACCTAAAATGTAAAGTATCCCTCATCCTTCTCCCCCCTCCTCTCAGTATGGAGAAATGTTTTTTTTTTTTTTTGGGGGGGGGGGGGTTGTTTTTTTTTTTTTTTTCTTCTGAAAGTGGGTACATATTTATGATGGGTACCCACCGCCACTTCCTCAATGCTCACCTACCTCCTGGGGCACGACATACGTCCCAGGAGACTACTAAAAATCACAGCGCGTCTTGACCATGTGCAGTGGGAAGCCGGCTGTGAAACACCAGGAAGTCACAGCTGACTTTGCACATCCAAAATGGCGGCACCGGGGACCCGAAGACTGGCAGAGAATCAGCCCAGCTGAGGACAGCTGAGGGCTGGGCTGATAGGTGCCGGTTTATTAAAATTCAGCAGCAACAGTATTTGTAGCTGCTGACGTTTAATTTTTTTCTGAAACAACCAAAGTTCCACTCTTTATGCAATTTTACACGGGTGATCTAGAGCCTGTATCCATGTGGTTTGAGCTTGTGTTGATGGGCAAATGCATATTGCCTTTCAAATTATTCAGAATTCATTGCAGATGCGTTTTGACTGCCAGTTGATCTTTGAAATGCTTTTGACCTGCTTCAAGCTGCTTTTCATTCCTTTAGACTTGTATGGTTGAAAAACAGTTCTGACATGAAAAGCTAGTTTTTGGGCTGCACAGTATGTACAAATGTCTCTCTGTAAAGATGCTGAGCTACTGAGTCACTTCTGGGGTCTAGGATGTGCTGAGAAGGTAAGCAGCCTGTTCTAAACTTCTGAGTCACTGCTTGGATGAGGAGCAGGATGAGCTGAGCTGCTGAGTCACTGCAGGAATTTGGGGGCCAAGATGTTGAGTCACTAATGGAAGTGGGGAGAATGGGAAGTTGAGTTGCTGCAGGGAGGGGGAGTTTAGCTGCTGAATGGTAAGCAGAGGTAGGTGAGCTGCTGAATCACTGCTGGAATGGGGAGCAGGAAGAGGTGAGCTGCCGAGGCACTGTTGTAAGGGGGAGCTGAGCTGCTGAGTCACTGCTGTGAGTGTTGCTGGAAGATCTAAACTGCTGAGAGAGCAACTGGAAAGACTTCAGTGCTTCTGCTGTAACCTAAATTACTCCACATCGTCTGCAGCTAAAGAGATCAAGGATGGCTTTTTTGAAAGTTCATTTACTGCTTTCTAAAAAAAAAAATAATAATAAAAATAAATAAAAACTGAAATAATGGTCATAGCCTGGTCACAGGTTCACTTTAAGTTACTCATGAACAGCAATAATGATTACTGAAAATATCATGTTCAGTGAGGTTTTTTTCAGCTGCCCAACTCTCCATTACCTGTATGCATACATGCCGCTTTCCAGCGGGTTGGCCTTAATGCCGAGAGCCCATATACAGTTGTGTTCAAAATAATAGCAGTGTGTTGAAAAAAGTGAATAAAGCTCAAAATCCTTCTAATAGCTTTTATTTCCATACACACAAATGCATTGGGAACACTACACATTCTATTCCAAATAAAAACATGAAGAAAAATATATCAAGTTTGTGTTGTTCCTCTAAAAAAAAATTGAAGAAAAGTGAATATTGAACTGTTCAAAAAAAAATAGCAGTGTTTGTTTTCTTCTTTACAAACTCAAACATTCACTATATAAACTGAAAAATGTTTGAAGATTTTGTTTTCCTTTGAATCACTTAATGAATATTTCGTTGTATAAGCACTGTTTCTGAGAACTGCTGTACATCTGTGTTGCATGGAGTCAACCAACTTCTGGCACCTGTGAACAGGTATTCCAGCCTAGGATGATTGGACTACATTCCACAGTTCTTCTCTATTTCTTGGTTTTGCCTCAGAAACTGCATTTTTGATGTCACCCCACAAGTTTTCTATTGTATTAAGATCCGGGGATTGGGCTGGCCACTCCATAACGTCAATCTTGTTGGTCTAGAACCAAGATGTTGCACGTTTACTGGTGTGTTTGGGGTCGTTGTCTTGTTGGAACACCCATTTCAAGGGCATTTCCTCTTCAGCATAAGGCAGCATGACCTCTTCAAGTATTCTGATGTATTCAAACTGATCCATGATCCCTGGTATGCGATAAATAGGCCCAACACCGTAGTATGAGAAACATCCCCATATCATGATGCTTGCACCACCATGCTTCACTGTCTTCACAGTGTACTGTGGCTTGAATTCAGTGTTTGGGGGTCGTCTGACAAACTGTCTCCGGCCACTAGATCCAAAAAGAACAATCTTACTTTCATCAGTCCACAAAATGTTGCGTCATTTCTCTTTAGGCCAGTCAATGTGCTCTTTGGCAAATTGTAACCTCTTCAGCATGTCTTTTTTTCCAACAGTGGGACTTTGCGGGGGCTTCTTGCAGATAGCTTGGCTTCACATAGGCGTCTTCTAATTGTAACAGTACTCACAGGTAACTTTAGACCTTCTTTGATCTTCCTGGAGCTGATTGTTGGCTGAGTCCTTGCCATTTTGGCTATTCTTCTATCCATTCGAATGGTAGTTTTTTGCTTTCTTCCACGTCTTTCAGGTTTTGGTTGCCATTTTAAAGCATTTTCGATCATTTTAGCTGAGCAGCCTATCATTTTCTGCACTTCTTTATATGTTTTCCCCTCTCCAATCAACTTTTTAATCAAGGTACGCTGTTCTTCTGAACAATGTCTGGAACAACCATTTTCCTCAGAATTTCAGAGAGAAATGCACTGTAACCAGCATGTACAACATTTGCTGCCTTCCTTCCTTAAATAAGGGCAATAATTGCCACCTGTTTTTCAAAGAATGAATGACCTCACTAATAGAACTCCACACTATTATTTTGAACATGCCCCTTTCAATTAGTGATTCAATTACACAGAATCAGCAGCATGCATGTCATGACTGTTGGGTCTGTTGGATTTCTATTACTCTACTACACCTGCTAGTAAATTATATGCCATGTAGAAATATCATTTCTACCAAAAACAGTGATTGATCAGATTAGTGATGTCTGACTGCTATTATTTTGAACACAACTGTATATATGCGTACGTGAAGATAAACAGATCTGTACCAAGAGTGTGTGAAGTGTGTGCTCCCGGGCACAGTTAAGCAGTGTCTATGGAAAGCATCTGATCTCTACTTGAGATTGGGAAGTTTCCAATCATGTGACCGCTGTGACATCCAATCACAGCGTTCACATGATCAGAAGCCCTGCCTCCCGGCATCTGAAACCTCTTAAAGGGCCAAGAAGTGCCGGCGCCAAGAGGTTAATAAATAAAAAAAAAAAGCCATTTTTCTCTGCTTTAGCTGTCCATCAGCTTGCAAAGAAATATAAAAGCTTGAATAAGAATATCAAGTTAATGTATAATAGCAAGAAATCCTATATCCTGAGACCTTATCTTTTACTCATCAAAAGTAAGTTAAGTTGAAAGTGTATGTTAAATGTATTTTAACAATTTATATTAAATTTGTTTTTTAAACCTTAAATTATAAACATTTGTGACCCTGTTTCATGGTTCACTCATATTTTGGGTTTAGCATGGAACATAGTTTTAACTCCCCAACTTCCCACCCTCAGACTGCACTTTTAGTCCATGGTTTACTTCCTCCATCCCCATACCTGAAGGTCAGTAGCTCCTTATGGACCTAAGGGTGGGGTGTAAACAATGCAGAACACTGTGCATTGCCCATGAAGCACGCTGATCAGTCATGGTTCTCTACAGGCTTCAGTGCAAACACAAAATAATTGCATATATTTAATTTGTGGGTTTAATACATTTTTGCAAAATGTGGACAATGTATTTAAAACTGCAGGAAAATGATTGCCCTAGAAAAGAATCACTGCTGTATACTGTCCCTTTGCCGGCATACCAATAAGCTCCATAATAGTTATTTTAGCTGCACTCCTGAATTTCTCCTAAATGTATTTACTTCTCAAACAGAAATTTCTCTTTCTAAGGTTAGTCGGAATTATTTTTTGGAATTAACAAGGCATTCTACTGTCCTACAGTGGCCGCCTCTTTGACTAGAGCCCTCTGCTGGACAACGCCTGTAAACATATGTGAGAGTGGCAGGAGATTGGGGCTTATGGTTTACCATTGTAAGTACAGCAGCCAAGCAGACACTATTCCATATGTCTCATTACTCACTCTGCCAGGATCAGTTTTTGGGAAAACAT